TTCCCTACCACCAGATCAGTGCTCAGAGGCACATGTCTTGGGATCCAGAAGGCTGAGCGCACACAAGAAACTTCTGCTTTTAGTCTCCCAGCATTTATTTATCTCTCATAGATGTTATCTGGCTCTTCAAAAAATCCCATACTTGAAGGACAACTGATGTGACAGTGTTGGGAGATACCTACTACAGCTTTCCAGCTCCCTTCATAGAATGTAATCACAGACCCTGTATGACCTGTTTCCACCCAGGGTTCCTCGATGTGTCTCTGTCATCTTATGTCATTGCCACTAACTGGATGACCTAATTTTATCTGGAGAAAAAAAAAGCTGCCATCGCTCTAGATTGTATAAAACAACCACACAGTGGTTTTCACCTATTTGCTTTGTCTTCATCTACTGGTAGATGCTAGACCTCTCTCCAGAAAGCAGTTCTCTCTTTCAGCATTCATCATTCTCTTGACCCCTACAAGTTGAGGACTCTCTGCCTTCAGCCCTGTTTCTCAAATGCAGATGCCTGTTGGGCTGTGCAGAGCTCTGTGCCATGGCTAGACTGCTTCACATACCTGAGCTGCAGAAAGCAGTATTTGCTGCTACAATGCTGGGCCAGACTCAAATTTATCCTACTGATGCATGCTGTGCTTTTGGCCATGCTAGAGGGAAACAACAGCATGAGATGATGGCAGTAATTAGGTTGTTGATATCTAGGTGCTGGTGGACAGGCCGGTAGGCATAGGAGCTGGCAGCTGAGCAGCAATTTAAAAATGACTGATAACAAAGCTTTTCTTCAAGTCTAGCTTGCAAAAACAACTCTCTGTGCTCCATCGAAAATTTAGCATTTCCTGTTGTTGATACTATAGTTCCGAATTTCACGGAACAGCACAGGGCCACCTCCAGACCAAGGGACAAGTGGATGAAGCAGTTTAATTCTCAGTCCTGGTCCTCTAGGTTTCCAGTTTGGGCATCTGGTTGAATGCACCAGAGCTCCCTTCTGGCTTGTAAACTTGTGTTCCCCAAACACCACGGCACTGGAGAGATGGTGATGGGAGGAAGGCATTTCTGCCATGGTCCATGGAAGCATGGAGCTTACAACGGGAAGTTGTAAGGTTGGATATGACCTGCTGAGTGCTAGAAAGTTGGATATGACCTGCTGAGTGAACTCAGAGGCAAGATAGCATCACTTTTTTTTGCAGAGGATGTTTTTGACACTTTTTGGTTTGGGTCTTCTTCTCCTTCACTTTTCCTTGTACTATCAGCAGCGCAAAACTGTGTGATAAAAAAT